GCGCCCCTCTGGCGTCATGCAGGCATCGCAGCACTTTGGCGCCCCAGGCGCCAGCGGCACCCCGGCGGGCCACAGCAGCAGCAGCGCGGCGCCCAGCAATAGCGGCAGCAGCAGCAGCTGGGAGTGGGACAACGAGCAGCCCATCATTTTCTCCCCTGACATGGACATGCCGCCCGTGGTGAGCATTGGAGGCGGGGGCTGCACTCGGTCGGGCCGTGCGGATTGTTTGCTTGCGTAGGTCCTGTTCTGGCTTGTTTGTGCCAGCCATCTGCCCCGTCCACCACAGATCCAGGGCTGGCACAACGGTTCCATTGACCGTACTCGCTTTGCCTGGTGCCGTCCTGTCCCTCCCTGCAGCTGGTGCAAGATTGGCGCGCCTTCCGCGCCCGCCTCGTCGCCATGGAGAGCGGGCAGGCGGCGCGGGCAGCCAGCCTGCAACTGGGCCGCGAGGAGCGGTGGGCGCACGTGCTGGCGCAGCCCGAGCGCGGCTGCCTGCTGGTGGCGCGGCCGCGGCCGGGGCTGGGCATGTTTGCCAACACGGGTGGGTGCCTGGCTGAGGCGGCTGGGAGCGGTCTGCTTGGCGCATACAAACCAGCTCCGCCCGCTTTGTCCACAGAACAACTGCGCCATTGGCATGCCCCCACCTGTCACCCCCATGCATCCCTGCTTCCCCATGCAACCCCACGCCCCATGCTCCGTAACTCTTCCGCCCCGCTCCCGACATTCGCCTCGTGCTCCCCCCTGGCCCACCTGCTGCCCTCCCTCCCTCCCACCTCTATGCCCCGCAGTCATCCTGCTGCTGGAGCACGACGACCGCGAGGGCTCCTCGGGCCTGGTCATCAACATGCCCACGCCGCTGCTCATCTCCAACCTGGGACTGGAGGAGGACATCGCGGGTGGGTGGGTGCGCGGGTGGGGCGCCTGGCACGGGGGTGGGCTGCGCCGCGTGGGTAGCGCTGGGCAGGGGAACACATCGCGGGTGGGTGGGCGGGCGGGTGGGGCGCCTGGCAGCGGGGTGGGGTGCGCCGCGTGGGTAGCGCTTTGCTGGGGAGCACATCGCTCAGCCTGCCCTGCACCCCTGCCGTGCGCATCCTGGCTCGGCAAGCAGGGCATGCTGGGCCAGCCCTTGTGGCACCAGCGCACGTGGCTTGGGGACTTGGTTCAGCTGCAGGAGCTGGGGCTGCGTCTGGGCTGTTTCGACGCTCCCGGCTGGCCTCGCCCGGCCTCGCCCGACCCCTGCTCCCGCCCGCCACGCGCATGCAGACGCCTTCCGCCAGTGCCCGCTGTTCATCGGCGGGCCCGTCACCAAGAACCTGCTGCACGTGCTGCACGCGCGGCGGGATGTGGAGGGGGCGCTGGAAATCATTGAGGTGTGTGGTTGTGTGTGTGGTGTTGGGCCTGGCACGGGCGTTGGCTGGGTGTCTGTGCCACCGAGGCGTGCAAGGCGCTTGCCCCTCGCCTGGCTGCCCCCCGTTGACCCATGCATGGTCCCAACTGCCCACCACGCGCCCCTGGCCCCGCTGCAGGGCGTGTTTGCCGGCGGCGTGGAGTCGGCCAGCGAGCTGGTGCGGCGGGGCGAGGCCTCCCCCAAGGACTTCATGCTGCTCTCGGGCTACAGCGGCTGGGGCCCCGGCCAGCTGCAGCAGGTGGGCAGCTGCTGCCGTACCGCTGCTGCTCCTGCTGTACTGCTGCAGCTGCTCCCGCTGCTGCTGCTGCTGGAGTGGTGGGCCCAGGCGAGGGCCTGCGACCCGGGTGCATTGCCTGAGCAGTGCATCGCCCGGGCTCGCGGCCTCGGGTGATGGAAGAGAGCTGACGTGGCGGCTGCCTGCCTGGCTGGTTGGCTGGCTGGATGTGTTGCAGGAGCTGCGCAGCGGCACATGGATCCCGGTGGCCGCCAGCCAGGCCGTCATCATGGACTGCCTCAAGGGTGGGTGCCTCTTGGCGGCGGTGGCGTTGTGGGGGGCATGCAGCCAAAGTGCCGCACAATTTTCAGTGCTAGCTGCTCAGCCAGCTGGCGCCTGCCTGTCGTGCTGGTGGTGCTCCCGGCTCAGCCTGCCCTCCGCCCCTTGCCACCTGCCTGCAGAGAGCCTGGCGTGGAACCCTCACCCCGCCAACCCGCTGTCATCCCCGCTCATCGGCAGCAGCGGCAGCACGGGGCTGGCCCCCAACAGCGAGGACGTGAAGCGCATGTGCTGGCAGCGGGTGCTGTGGCGGGCGGGCATCGAGCCCCACATGCTGGGCATGCTGTGAGCTGAGTTGGCATCCCGACAAACCAGGTCGCCCCGATGCCTCGGCACCGCACGCACCATTGTAGCTTGCAGCCGCACGCGCCGGTTAGTGCCCGGCGCCCGCCTTTTTGCCAGACTCGACTGAGACTCGACTCGACGTAATGTGATCTGTCCACCGCTGCTGCACCGCACCGCACTGCACCAACCCTCTCCTATTCAGTACCCAGTTTTGACGCGGGTGGGCAGGCGCGGCTCAAGCCCCGCCAGCCCGCCCGCCAGCCCTCGGCGCCCCCCGCCATGCCTGTCCCTGTATGTGCGTGCCCGTCCCAGCCCCCTTTGGAAAGTGCAGAGGGAGCGGGGCGCACACGCCACTGCCGTCCTCCCACCGCCCCCAACTGTACATCCTCTGCCTCCCGCTCCATGCTACTACCTGCCCCCCGGCCCAGGCACTGCCCCAACATCAACTCTGTCCCCCACAACCGCAACCCTTTGTTGCTTGCCCTGTGTGGTCCCCCCACCCTCTTCTCCCCAGACTTGCCCGCCGCACTAGCGCCTTCCGATTTTCCCACCCCTGCCGCCTATTGGATGCACTTCTCTGCCGCTGTAGGGGGCGCCCGCTCCCGCCCCATTGGGCGGGGGCGGGCCCCTGGGCTTCCACCAGTGTACCTCATGCTCTTCCCAGTAATTTCACACGTCTTCTGCATCACACCCCAGGCCACAACACAGCTGCTCCGCTGGGCAGGCAGGCAGGCTGAAGCGTGCAGGCAGCCTCCTGCGTGGCTGGTTCTGGGTAACTGCTGGAACGTGCCCATGCTGTGCCAGGTGCACGGCGAGAGGCCAGCAGCCATGCCTGCAGCTGCTGCGCACTGCTCCACCTGCTGTGACGGCGTGGTCGTGGCTGCGTGGTTGTGCCTGTGCCAAAGACTGCACTGGCATGATTGCATTGTTGTCCCAACAAAATGCGCCCCAAGCAAAGAGGGCACAGCAGGCTGAGGTGGGAGGATGCAAAATCAGAGGGAGAGGGCTGGGCCAAGGGGAGGGGAGGAATGCCAGATGGGACACAAAAGGCGTTTGCACGGTGGGGCAGGGGCAGCAGGGGCAGGGTATGCCTCGGCACGTGGCCTGCTGCCCCGCAGAATGCGTGCCGCCCAGCGCCTGCCGCTGCCGCTCCACTACTGCTGCTTGGTTATGCGGTCCACCTCTGCCTGC